GGTCAGCTGTACTTGGCATGTTGTTGTGATTTGTTTATTTTACGCTCCTCAAGGAAAACCAAAAAAGATCGGTCTTATATAACTCTGAAATCACGATAGACGTCGCTCTTCAAATTCATACAATTCATCCCAATAAAATCTCAAATGCTACAAAGAATGGAAGTGCATTTTAATTTGAATTGAACAAGTTTTACTTACTTCTAAGTTGCAAACTAATAAAATCATCTTACAATATTTCAGCACATGTAGTTTTTGTCCGATTTAGAGTGCACTTACCTCTTACCATACACATGCTCCTCCGTATGGATTTGTGTAATTTTAGTCATCTGAAATTATGTTTTCAATTTGCGGTTAACACTATACACAAGCTCAATTCACTTTTGATTTTTATTATAGCTTGCAGAAAATAATTGCATTTAATTTCAGGTAAATGCATTGAAAGTTGAGTTAAGGTGGGGGTAACTGGTTTTGCAGTGTTGCACAAATATGAAATATAAAGTTTCAACATGTCAACTGCAAGTCAGGGGACTGTATTAAATTGTTAGATTGCAATATGTAAACTTATGTGTTTATATACTAGGACAATGACGGGAGTGTTGTTTCTTGGATATTAATATTATTCTGCGAATCAATATAGGCGGTCCTTCGTTACCCTCTGTCATTCCTAAGCCATTCGTCCGACAGCTGTTAAAATTATTCCAGTTTTATTAATTATCATTAAATTGTTTACAAGCGTACAAAAGCATTTTTGTGAGAATCTTCCAGAAAAAGGTTATTCGTTATGGAATTCAAGCGTAATATTGTGATTTTTTATATTTGGCTGGAAAAGCACAAGTGACTATCATTAGAGCACTCCAGCATTTAGAAGTGAATAAATCTTTTGTGTCTCGTACCATCGCTCGTTACCGCGATACTGGTAGCGTAGCCCGACGTCAAGGAAGTGGACGGAAGAAAACAGCAACATCAGCAGAAATGGTTCTAAAAGTAAAGAAGCGACTTGATCGAAACCCGCGTCACAGTGGCCGAAAAATGGCTCGTGAACTGAACATTCGGCAAATATTGAAAAATGAGCTCGGGGTAAAGCCATTGAGTTCCAAACCGTGCAAGAACTTACACCGCAACAGAAAGAAAACGGACTGAAAAGAGTTGCTTCGCTTGGCGTGGTGAACTGCCGAATTTTGAACCGCAACAGAAAGGAAATATACTCAAAAGAGCTAAAGAGTTTCATCGCTTCGCCGAAAGTGATGAACTGGCGAATTTGGTTTTCTCCGATGAGAAGACATTCGTTGCCCAGCAGTTTGTAAGCAAACAAAATGATCGTGTTTACTTGCCAAAGAGGTCAGCTAAAAATGTGCACCTTCGGTTGGCCACCAGAACTAACCGGCCATGGTGATGGTGTGGGCCGCCATAACAGCCGATGTTCGCTCTCCGCTCGCATTAATCTACCGTAGCATCAGAATAAATACCGAATATAATCGCGAAAATATTCTGGAGGGTGTATTAAAGCCTTGGGCACACAAACATTTTGGCCGCAGACCTAGGACATTCCAACAGGACTCAGCACCATCGCACTCAGCACGCGCCACCCCAGAATGGTTACAAAATGAAGTTTCTCGCGTCGGATACTAATCCGTTGGACTATTGTGTCTGGAGTATTTTGTAAAGCAAGTTTGGCAGTAAAAAATACCAAGGTGTAGATCACATCAAGCAATCGCTTCGCCGGGAATGGGCCAAAATACCCCAGAGTAACATTCGGGCAATTAATTCGTTCCAAAGGTGACCAATACTAACAAATCTAAACATATTCTAAAATTTGATGCTATTTCCGAAATTTTGCTTTCATTCAAGAAAATGTAAAAATTATGGCGTTTGACTTTGTTGAAGTTTTTTTTTTATCACATCCTGTATTTTCATTAGTCTATGCAGAAAGTGGGTTAATCTCTAAAACTAGAGTTTTAAAACATCATATTTACCATTCTAATAAAAATTTTCCACAGAAGTGGTTTGCTGTATACGCTCATTATAACTTTTTTTTAATTTCTAATTTTATGGAACCTTGCAGATACAAGTTCGTTTAACTTTGAAAACATATCCGCCAAATACGTTAACTAAAGCACGAATTCTTCGTCCAGTAGATGGGTCCGCAACCCATACTTTCAAAAATACTAACACTAAAACTTAAACCCAGCAACGGGGCGTGTTCTTGAACAGCTCTTGCCAGTCTAATTTCTTTTAGTTCTTTTAAAGCATCAACAAATCAGTGTTTAAACATCATTTATATATTTTTTGTATCAACACGAAAAAAAAATATTCTTGGACAATATTCATTTTAAAAAAATAATTGAAACGAATCAGTAAATGAGAGAGGTACACTCAAGTTCTTATATCTAAAATGTTTTGATCTTTTATTGTATATATCGGCCAGTTAATAACTAAAGAGGTAACGAACGATGGCCACCCCTGATTGTATAAAAAAGCATGTTGTATTCTCTGTTACCAAAAAGAAAGTAACATAGATTGCTATCTAGGAATGCCAAGTTGGACGTTTTCTCGCTACTTGTGGTGATTTTTGAGTCAAAAATTTCGACGCACAAGAGCCACTAAGTCGCTACCAAGACTTTGTCTGCTTAAGGTAGCGGTTGTAGAGAATATAACTCAATATTGTTCATTGCCACCACTTTTTAAGAGTTAATGTATATACATTTATTTTAAACAATTAAATAAAATATCAAATTAAATAAAAATTAAAACATCGAATTAAACCTAACCTCAAAATATATAAAATAAGGCATAAAATTTAAAAAATCACCAGTATATTTTTGTCAGCTTTTTTTGTCTATTTATGAAGAAATTAAGTTCTTGCTGTTTTTGTGAAGTATTATTGTTTAAGATTTTTTGTTTTATGCGAAAGGCAGGTTAAATAAGTAAGCAAAGGCTATAACCGTGCGGGCCGATGTGATGCCCTACAAGACTACAATATGTTAGAAGCCCCTTTATGTCCAAATCCATTTTGGAAGATTTCGCTTTTGAAATTATGTAACGGAGCACTGCACAGATATTACCCTTAGCATTTTGACCAGAGACATTTGGCCAATATTTACTCACTCCGTCGTGCTGTTAGTTGTTGTGGTCCAATTTGCAGCTAAATATAATTCAATGGTCATCCAAAATGCTAGAATTCCTCCCTGTCCCTAACTCTCTTCTCAGGCGTGTCGATTGGCTTCAATTTTGTGATCAGGAATTTTGTTCTGTTTTTGCGATCATCTCCAAAAGCAAGAGGCAACTCTGTATATCTAAATTTAGACTCATCTATATGATTTGCGTGTCTACGACATTGGCTATATTCGTCAACGAAATCAGCATAAAAGGCCAGAAATTCGCCTTTTTGTGTATTTTAGATATCGCCTGTAAGTTACTGTAAGTGTTTCGGTAGAATGGAAATGTTGATATTTTTTCACACAAAAGTAGTGGTCCATTCAACCCGCTGTCCTAAACTCTTACTTCATGCGAGATTTTCCTTTGGCTTCTATTTGTTCGGACGATAATTGCAATCTGTGACCAGACCTGTGTTGTAAGGCGAAAAATATTTCAAAATGTATACTTCAGTATTATAAGTCAAATTGAAAAACATCGCATGCTATAAAAAATATGAAAAAAAAAAATAAAAAAAAAACACAAAATATTACAAAATCTATATTAAGATCATTATTGGCATCTTTTTATGCAATTTTTTTATTTTAATTTTTATGCCAAGAGGGCATTCTGAATTGACAAAATTGGTCAAAATCGGTCCAGCCATTCTTGAGATATAAGCATTCTAGCTTATTATCCCCCTCCTTTGTATATACACATTGTATATATTTCTCTATATATACGATATATTTACTATCGGCATCTATGTAACGGTCAGAATTGACCTGTCCGTCTATTTGTGATTTCGCTGGTATTAAAAATATTCCCGATTTAATGTAAAATTAGACTTTTATTTAACGCAAATGTTTTGTTCTCTTTCACCCACTAACTATACACGCCCACTAAATATTACCCGATGACCATCAAAATTGGAAGACATCTGCCCAGCCCTAAGCCTTATCCCCATTCTAATTTTCACTTCGATTGGTCTATAATTGCGACCTGTAGAGCAACTGCAAAATTAGGCAATTTTTTTCCTAAATATCATCTCCAAAAGCAAAAGGCTTCTATTCTGACCATAACCCCAACTCCATTTTCAATTTTGTGAGGACCGGGCTATAATTTGGACAGACGGACGGACATACATAGCTAGATCGACTCAGCTCGGTGAGATAGGAAGATCCATACATACTTTCCTATGTGGGAAACCAATATGTCGAGGTGTTACATAATTTTCGGCCCAATCAAACTTATAATACCCCCAACACATAGTTTTGTAGGGTATAAAAACATACATATTTTTTCCAAATAAATGTATATATATGCCTTTTTTAATTTCTCCTCCTTCTGTGTAACAATTCATAATTTCTGTTTTTTTTTTTGCACATTTTCGTTGAGTTTTTTGTTCTTAGTCTGTAGATTGCTGAAGGTTTTTACGAATTTCTCTGTGGCGATTTTTAATTCGGTACGTTGGCATCCCTGTTTCTTTCATTATTATTCAGAGAGAGAGAGAAAGAGGCATGCAAACAAATGTTATTAACAGAATATCAACAACTCAGAAAGACATTCCACACCAATTATGTTCTCTCAAGTATCCCCCATTGTTTACTTTTGTTTCTGCCTATTAATGTTTTGGCCTGTGTGTGCGTGTAAGTTGTATTGTGTGGTTGTTGTACTTTTTGTGTGAAGTAGCGCATTTGTCACTGCGGTGTTTGCAAAGGTTTGCGAGAGAATGCTCTACGTATGGGTATTGTCTGTGTTGTTCGGCTTGTCTGCAGCAATGAGCGACGTAAACAGCATTTTCTGTACAGCTGCCGTCTGTTGTCACTGCTGGGCACCACTCGACTCCAAAGAAGTTTTGGAACGTTCATTTAGTGAATTAGTTCGAATTTAGCAAGCAAAATGAAAAGTTGTTGGGTTGGTTGCGTGTTCGTTTGATTATATAGCCGGCGCTGTTCAGTAAAGTGCGTTTACCGAAGTGATTTTTTATTATTTTATTTTTAAGCTTCGTTTAATTTCTCTACAAATTTCATTTACTCGCTTAATTGTTTCAATACTTTTTAAAAATTACATTTCTTTGTAATATAATTTGCCATACACGAAAAAGAAACACGTGTTACTATTTTTATCCGAACACAATAGGAAGAGAGCAGACGGTAAAAAAAACTTGAATAAATAATTCGCTACCAAATGTAGATAAAAACTTTTGAAACGCGAACAACAACGACAACCACATTAAATGTAAATAAGCTAAACAGACATGTGGTTTCCATAGCATAGCGAAGAATTTACCTATCGCATAGCACATGAATTTGTGATAAATAATGAAGAAAAGGCCAAACGCAGACACTCAATAAACGACATTGCAATACATACCTAACTACCTACCAAAAATGAAAATATTTCACTTGGACATTTTCCAACTTAAAAGATAAACAAAAACAAAACATTCATAAAAGCACGTTGTAATAAAAAATAAGCATAAGCAGAAAGTGACTATTCTTCAACTCAACGGTGAGGAGAGCCGAACATCAGCGACACGCATTCGTGAAATCAAGGTGAAAAGAGAAGAAGAATTGTTACCCGCTCGCCGATACCGGCTCATTATACGCTGGCATTTCTTCAACATACTCACATACACACTCATACAAGAATTCATTCAACATATTTTTGGGCCCCATGAAAAAAGCTGATGCAATATACTGCCACATTTGCGAGTTTTTTTTTGGAAACATTGAAAAATCAAGGGAAACAAGCGTAAAAGGGAAAAGCAGCAACTAGCAGCGTTAACGTTAGTAGTTAACAGAGAACAAGAAGCACGCACGCACGCGCACTTTTTTTAAATTCCAATTAGAATTTAGTTATGGCCCGTGTTCAAGCTGGTGACAATTTAGTACCACGCCAAGTATTCGAAATGCCCGGTGAAAACAGTAAAGAAATGCAAAGCTGCGACAGTTCCAGTCAAGGTTCTGGCGTTAAGCTGAAGAAGCGAATTGGCCTCTTGGATGGTGTTGCCATTATTGTTGGTGTCATTGTCGGTGCGGGTATTTTTGTGAGTCCTAAAGGTGTCCTCTTGTATTCTGGGTCCATTGGTCAATCGCTTATAGTATGGGTACTTTGTGGTGTACTGAGTATGGTTGGCGCCTTGTGTTATGCTGAATTAGGTAAGTTTAATTACCAATTTTCATACTAATTATTATAATATTTTTTACCTATTTGTATCCTGAATTTATTTGTATTTTATATAATGTGATGATAAATTTTACCCTTCCAAATTTTACAAAAAAAAAAAAAAAACATTGATTAAAAATTTTCATTGATAATTATTTGTTTTATAAGTATTAGCTTGTATATTTTAAATTACGATAAGAAACAAGTTAAAACGCAGTAAGAATTTTGAATACCCTCCACCATTTCGAACGAATTTGGAAATGTTCAAAAATAAAATCCGTTAAAAAATCTGTTAAAATCTAAAATACCGAATGTAGCCGTCATATTAGGGTCTAAACGACAACGTGGACCTGCATAGGCAACTTTTGTCATACGCCAATAATCAAATGCGAAACTTGAAAAAAAAAAAAAAAAAAAAAACAAGTAAAAAACATTAAGTTCGGCCGGGCCGAGCTTTTAACTCTTAGGGTAATGGAAACATTAGAACCAATTATGGGTCATAATACCAAATTTTAGACATATTCTTGGGAAAATGTGACAAAAATAATCAAAATACCGAATATCGTGGGAAACCGTTATATGGGGGAAATACTAAAGCGTGGACCTATACATGCAATGTTTCGCCACACGAACTAGGACCCACTATGACCTACAAATACCAAATTTCAGACAAATGTGGCAAAAATCATCAAAATACCGAATATCGGAGGTAACGTTATATGGGGGCTATACCAAAACGTGGACCTATACATGCAATGTTTCGCCACCGGAGCTAGAACCCACTATGATCAACAAATACCAATTTTTAGACAAATCCATGATAAAATGTGGCAAAAATCATCAAAATACCGAATCTCGGGAGGTACCGTTATATGGGGCTATACCAAAGCATGGTCCCATACATACAAAATTTCGCCACACGAGCTAGGACCCATTATGACCTACAAATACCAATTTTCAGACAAATCCGTGAAAAAATGTGGCAAAAATAATCAAAATACCGAATATCGGGAGGTAGCGTAATATGGGGATTATACCAAAACGTGCACCGATATATCTCATTTTCAATACCAACCATCCTAGACACAATACAAATTATTCTGCCAAATTTTGAAGCTCTCCGTCAAATAATCTGGCCTGTATCGTGATTTCTACAGACAGACAGACGGGCATCGTTAAATCGGCTTAGAATTTTATGCTTATTATGAATATATATACATTATGGGGTCAACGACAAATATTTAGGGATGTTACAAACGGAATGACAAAGTTAATATACCCTCCTTTCCAAGGTGGAGGGTATAAAAAACGGTGAATAATGTAGCTTAAATCATCAATATAGGGATGTACTATTATATGGGGGCTATAACAAAATGTGGACCTGCCCAGGCAATTTCCTGCCTTAGGCTGTAGTATCCATTACGAACCTCAAATACCAAATTTGAAACAATTCCGGTGAATAATGTCGATAAATCATCAAAATACCGAATATCGGGAGTTACCGTTATATAGGGGGTTATACCAAAACGTGGACTTACATGGCCCATTTTCAATACCAAAAGTCCTGCATACATTTGATAACATTTTACATTTGAGTAACATTTTATCAATCTACTTCTTTACGTTCGGAAGTTAGAGTGATTTCCACAGACGGACGGACATCGCTAAATCGACATAGAATTTTATGCTGATCAAGAATATATGTACTTTGTTGGGTCTGACAAGAGTATTTCGAGGAGTTACGAACGGAATGACAGAGTTAATATACCCTCCATAGTATGGTGGAGGGTATAAAAACAGGGTTTTTCATTCAGTCAAAACTTTTATTCATCGCAATAGAAAAGAGAATTTTAAGAATATGTAAAGGGAGGGTAAAATTTACCACCACCTCGTTAGTTAAAGGTTAAGTCTGTTCTCAACGCCCCGGTTATACATCAGCAGTGTTTCAGAAAGTATTATTTGAGAGTTTTATTAGAGCTGCGCCTCAATATGGAATCTAATATAGTTTTTGTGCAAATCAGTATTTTTCATGCAGTTTTCCTACAGCCAACACCATCGGGAAATGGTTTTTTTTCTGTTAAATTAATTTAGGTAAACTATTTTTATCTTAACACTATGTTAAAATACGTTAAATGATCAAGAATTCAGTTTAACTCGTTAATATTGTAAAAAATCTATTATTCAATTAACCCTCTGTGCACCAATACAAATTGCAAGTGGTTTGTGCATTTGCTAGAACAATGCATCTTCACGGACAATCTGTTTACAACTGGATTTAAACTTTTTCTGTTTCAAAATTTTGCTGCCGTCCGTTATAAAATATTCTGATCTAAAATTAACAACTATAATATTAATATAAATTATATAATTAATTTAAATTTCATAAAGAAAACTTGATTTGTTCTTCCGGAAATGTCATTGAAAATATTAAGCTACCTATTAGAAATTGTTTGAATATTGTTTAAAAGTTTGTATTCAATTTTAAATTTTTTGTTGGTTGATTAATACCAGCGGAGAGCGACTATTGGCTGTTATGGCGTCCCACACCATCACCATGGCCGGCGCTTGAGTTCTGGTGGCCAACCGAATGTGCACTGTTTCAGCTGACGTCTTTGGCAAGTAAACAGGACCATTTTGTTTGTTTACAAACTACTGGACAATGAATGTTTTCTCATCGGAGAAACCCAAATTCGGCAGTTCACCACCTTCGGCCAAGCAACTCTTTAGCTCTTTTGAGTCTACTTTCTTTCTGTTGCGGTGTAAGTTATTGCACTTTTTGGAATTTCAATGGCTTTACCCCGAGCTCGTTTTTCAATATTTGCCGAATGGAATATTGCAATATTTTCAGCTCACGAGCCATTTTTGGCCAAAGAATCCTTTTGTACGCTTTTAAACAATATAATGAGCTGTCACTGGAATAATTTTAACAGCTGTCGGACGAGTGGCTTATAAATGACCGCAGTCTGGTGGTAGCCTTACCTACTTTACCTTTTTATTGTACCATGAGGAAAACTGCTGTGACACCCCCTATTGGAAAATTTTTGTTGCTTAAAAACAGATTCCAAATATTGACAATTAAGGTAACATGAGAGTCACATTAGTGTGTTTTTCAACATCTATCAATAAATGATTAAAAAATCGTTTCTTATGAACTCAAATATTTGTCAAGTAATATTTTTAACATGATTTAAATGGGAAATGTCATACTGTGTAAATAAAATCAACTGGCTCTGTTTGCTCATCACTCACTCAAACCAGAAACCAAAAAGATGGATACATGTCAATCGTTATCGTTTTCTTTAGCAAATATTTGAAATACTTGAGGTAACTTGTAGTAGCGGTGTCTTCTTAAAATTTGTCATTTTGTCAGTACTACCTACGTGACCTTTAAATGAATAGAACAACCGAATCATAACTGCAACAATTATTACACGCATCGACTTTTTCGCTCTGGCATTGACGTCGTCGCACATGTCTATAAATTATAAAATAATTTAGGCACATCTACCGTACAGTAATTGATTGCGTAAGGTATTTAGGTGGCGGCAGATAAACAGATAACGGTGACCAAACGTAAAGCGTAACATATTTTGAGTCACCCAAACAAAGAGGTATTTGATTTGTAACGTGGTCATAAAATCACAACATTTTTTCAATAATTTTTGCATAGAAAATAACAGATTTGTGACTGTATTTAATTAATTATTGGGGAGAAATTTTATTATATGAGATATCTATATCTCTAAATAGGAAAATGTTTGTACGTTTGATTGTTTGTATGTTTGTTTGTTTGTAATTTATAGACTCAAAAACTGCTAAACAGATTTTCCTTACAGGTATGGCCTGAAAGTAACACAGTTTATATACATTATAGAATTCCACTGGGAACTGGAGATATAGCATCAGAATCGGATATACCTCCAGAAAATTTAGTTTTTGAATGCTCATATCTATTGAGTTTGGCAAATTATAAATGAAATCGGTTCAGATTTTAATATAGCTCCTACATATATTATCGGCCGATCTCACATATTTGATGCACCAAACACGATATATATCTCTAATTTCAATGGAATATGAAATGTGTAACGGCATTCGGGACAAAAAAAAAAATCCAAAATTATATTGAAATCGGTTCAGATTTGATTATAGCTCCCCCATAAATTTTCGATTTCATGTGTATGATGCACCAAACACGCCATATATCTAAAATTTCATTAAAATTTTAAATGTGCGTTGGAATTTGATCTAAAAATTAATTTGGTATATTATATTGAAATCGCTATAAATCTCTAATTTAAATAACATCTGGAATGTGTTACGGAATTTGGTCTACAAATAAATTTACCAAATTATATTGATTACGGTTCAGATCCAAATAGTTCTTATATACAATTTTTTGGCCGATTTGGTGTATTTGATGTACCAAATACAATTGCAAATTGTTTTACCAAATATAAATCACCGGAAAGAGAATAAGAAGAGTTACAATTGATTGCAGGAAGAAATTCGTCCAGCAAGAATTTGCAAACTCTCCATGAAAGAACTGTCCAAATTGTTCTCTCAAATCGCTCTCATTTGCAGATATTTTGTGTTAACAGACGACTTCCAGTAACAATTTGCAACATTTGCTACAAATTTTAGGGTAACCAGACACAAATATTGTTATACCCTCCACCTTGGAAAGGAGGGTATATTAACTTTGTCATTCCGTTTGTAACATCCTTAAATATTCGTCGTAGACCCCATAAAGTATATATATTCATAATCAGCATAAAATTCTAAGTCGATTTAACGATGTCCGTCTGTCTGTCTGTCTGTCTGCCTGTCTGTTGAAATCACGATACAGCCCAAATTATTTGACGTAGAGCGCCAAAATTTAGCAGAGCAATTGGTATTGTGTCTAGGATGGTTGGTATTGAAAATCGGTCCACGTTCTGGTATAGTCCCCATATAACGGTACCTCCCGATATTCGGTATTTTGATGATTTAT